CTCTTTTGTTACTTCAAAGATCTTTGATATATTGCCCGTGATGAATAGCCATTCAGCTTAGTATTTACCCGTGTAATCGGCCACCTTTTCCACGGAACCTTCTACCAAAAAAAAAAAACGAAAGAATGGACACTGCGTGCGCGGGGAAAAGTCTCAAATAACCTGCAGCCCCAGCCAGGCGAGGCTTTGAATATTTTTTGTTGGCACCAACGGGGGAGGGCTGACTCTATACGTAAGCAGACACACGTCATCGTGGTATTGGCGAACGAAGTACGAAGTGTTGGAACCTTTGACATCAAAAGAGTCATACAACCTCTACAAAAAGCACTGATGAGCGGCATGGATTGATGGCTGTACACACAATCAATGATTTCAGAACAGAAATGACAGCGCAAGACTTCGTCCTCTGCTTCCTACCTCGATAGTCTCAAACGCATTCAAGTCGGGGTACACGGCGAAAATGTAAGTATCCTAGACCTAAGCGCGTGGAAATTCGGACCTTATTATAAAGCGAGTGCATGATTATCGACGAGTTGCTCCTTGATCTTTCCATCCACGCCGTGCGCATCCCCCCAGATGTCAAAAACAAACGAGGGGGCATAACTTACAAATTCGATGATCCGGACCGGAATAATCTAAATTTAGATTCCAGATGCAGCTGTTCTAGGTTCTGCCGAGGCGGGCACCGCATGTCCTACATAGTCATAGACTCAGACAGGACAATGAAATGAGTTAATATCGAGGCGGGCAACCTTAACCTTTACGGCAAAGTGGCCAAGGTAACGTTACACTTCTAGTGATGGTTAGTCTCACGTGGCATTCGCTGGGACAGGTGACTTATCTCGGCGGTTTGTGGATCCAGAAGATTCGGATCATAGTACCCCCGTGTAAGGTTCGGGATAATTATCGCACACACACTACCTCTGTGGAGTAGTAGCTTTTAGATATACAGAATACATACCATACAGATCACAACAGACCTTTAAATCCAGATATACATGTGCAACAAGGGCCTAGTGATATTCATATCCAAGACGCACAGGCTGGAGAAGGGAGATGATGAGTAAAGTGCTCCTCATATAGTCAATGCAAATGAGAACTTTTCACGAGTGATGCCGTCCAAAGGGTGCCGCCTTGCAGGAAATATATATATAATTCGATATCCTGATTTGGCGCCTTGAGGCCCATGCAGGTTTTTATCGGAAGATATGTACCTAGAGTAGGATGACTCAATTTGACATTTGGAACACCCACACTCAGATTTCATTTGCAGATACCACTCGAGGTTAACCCTTACGGCGTGTAATCTCTTCCGTGCATACCCACCGCAGGTGGGAGCGTGAAAACCCTGAGGCTATCCGAGTGTGCTTTCGTCATCCCACAAGTACAACATCACCGCGAGAGAGTGTGGTGTGTGGGCTTTACTGGGTTCGAACCAGCCATCTCCTATCTCACATGGGGTAGGTGTTTAAGCTATCTAGTATCTACTTGGAAGAACGGCCCGGATGGTGTACCACTGCACCATCCAACCTCCAGGTTATGTATAACTAACAAAGAAAACCTACGTGCTCGGTACAGCCTTCGTCTGAGAAGAGCAATAATTAAAAACACGATGAATTTTCCCTCTGTAATATCTTGGCGCAATCACAGGTAATTTGAAGCCATTCTTCCTTGTCAGTCATGTTGGATTTTTTGTGAGTCAACGTGCTGGGTAATTGGCGCGTTCAAGTACGTGCAACACTTTAAACACCGCCATGGTTAGATGATGCAGTAGCTTATTATTTGGACCAGTCTCACAGGTAGTTTCTGCATAGCTTGGACACCTATCCCTTTGGGACAGATCGTCGGTTCGGATCTAGCAAAGCTCGACCACATCTCTAGCGGCTCTAGTTTGCTTGGACAATCAAAGGCTTCGAAATTTCACTTTGATGGGCACTCATAGACGGCTGTTGATTATGCTACACAATTAAACACACCCCTTGGTATTCGCAAACGAAATCTAGATTATGAGTGTTTTCGAAATCAAAACGTTCGCCTTACATGCATGTACAACACTTATTATGTGTCATGGCTAGTTATCAGAACACACGTTAAATTACATAGAAACAACCGGCTCCCTCCGTACTACTGTGGGAGCTTGAGCACGAGTGAGGCCGGGCTGGAAAAAAGGTCTACTACCATCAGGTACATAACCTCGTCCCACCTAAACAACTGTATTACCGTGGCCTTCATCCGTGTGTTAATCATGTCAAGTCTAACCGTCCAGAGTACCCGAGTTATACGTGCCGAATCGCAGGTTCGGCCTCAAGCTCCTTAACCACGCGCCCATTTTTAGACTTTTCTTTACCGTTCAGTCACAGCTTTGTCTCGTCCAGGTGTAATTTTTTTCAGTGCAGGCCTCCTCAGTGTTCTCCCTATTTAGTCTTCCATTGTAGCTTTCCATGACCCTTCTGTCGATATCACCACCCTAAAACTTGGTAGCCGTTACACTCCTCCACTCTTTTCCTGTCGCCGCCGTACCCTTAACCGTGGTGGTCGGTTTTGGGTCCAAGAGCTCAAGAACGAGGCATAGATGCATCGGCTTTTATCGAACATTCTAGTTGATTTACAGGCAAAATGACGTACTTGCTTCGTCCCCGGTCGAGTCGTTAGTGCCCTCAGCCGAGATGTAGATGAATACAAGACCAGTACTTCGAGCTTGCCTTATCTTCACAGTGAATGACGATTGCTGAGACATGTACGTCTCAAAGTAATGATGTGATGTGATATGAGCTTGATCGGGAATGATTTCCAACTAAGAATTAAGATATTGAAGGTACCAGTTATTGTAATACAAATATCAGTCAGGTCTGACTCTGTCTGTGGTCCGTATTTGGGACATGGATGTTTGGTATCGTTTGGTTGAGATGTGCAGTCGTGAAATTTCTGCAGATCGGGTTTCGACCAAAAACTTGTCAACGCCGCTCCTCCCTGTCGTCATCCCAACAGAAACTCTTAAACATGCCCCTTGTCGGGACAGGATTTCGGCTGCTGAAGATTACTTCACACCCAAGCTTCTAGGGAATACTACGGACGGGCATTCAGCTTTCCTTCTCTGCGACTTGGAGAATATCGGCACCTCTGTCACATAACTTGGACGTGCAAGGGTAGCAATATGGCAGCTTTGAAGGTGATTCCCCAAATTTAACGGTTGTCAGTCCACGCGGAAAGTAGCACATAGGGACTATCCGTGTTGATTGAACCCTGCCAGCGTGTTAACCCGAAACGCTTGGCCTTAGGAGCCGTGGATAAGAAATCTCGGTTGGCAAACTCTGGCCGGTGTGGCAAGATGATTCCAGGCTACGCTAAGGCCTTTTCCGGGCGCAAATTTAAATTATGTATTTCAGGATGAACGTGTGCGGAGGCGTGAAACAGCCTGATTGCAGCACAAGCGCTCCGATAGCCATCGATAAATATTTCGTGTCCATACCAAATTTCTGACCAAAGGGTAGACCCTGTAACGTGATGCTATGACACTCCCTACAGACAAGAATGATGATTAGCTAGGGTTAATCGTTTCCATACACTTGGAACCCGATGATGCATATGCAAGCCATGCTCTGCAACAAGAATCAAACCCCACCTTTCTGCTTGGAATTTGACTCTAGCAGCCTAAATATTCCGATGTGAACCCTTATCCTGCAGCAAGCAGTCAAATTGAGAAATTGTGCAAGCTCTGAACAAGCCTCACCAGCCCGTGCGGGAGTTTTAGGGACACAATGTCTGCTCAAACTATGGCTCTTACCTTTTTTCACCCTGCAGCTTAATAAGAATTCCCCGGACAACCCGATATGGTTTAGCTCGGTTGATAGGGTGGAAGGGAAGAAGACGCAGTGCCCATGACGGATCTACTGCTTCCTTGCCTAAGCCGACAGATCGGTCTTAGTCTAAAGGCCAAAGCGATGGAGGCGGTGACGAGGAAGCTCCGGCACCTACCGCTCATCCCTTCCATCCGAAGACGTGCTGTGTATAAACGATTTAAAAAAAATAGTAATGTCTAGTATTCTTCATCGAAACATCATGCTGTAGTCTTTGAGCCCTCGGCCATTATCTTCGGCCACAATTATGCAAGCTTGAACGAACTACGTCCTTCATTGCCGCCTGGTTTCCTGCTAGTCAAAAACTTGACGGTAGCTAAGTTTTCATCATGCGCGTCGGCTGCAATACTAAGGACTTTGCATAATTTGGATATCTGAGCTAAGACCTCAGATGGGGCTTTTGATTTTACATGCAGGACTGAGCCGTAGGTTAATCTACGCATGGACAATGCCTTATGCATCTATACCCTTGGACAGTCTAAAAAATTATCCTGAAATATGCACCTCGTGGATATGACGGAGCAATTGATGAAGGCGCAAAGGTTCGCGATGGAAACAACCCACGATTCGGCATCCGAATTAAAAGCTGAAGTGTTTAAAGGTGAGTTGCATCGAAAGTTAGGTTTCTATACGCTGCCGCTCATCGACGTCCGGTGACAGGTCTCTGCAGCAGCTTGATGTAAGAGACGGACTTATCAGATTGCAATTCTTATCCTATGCCTTGGTAGGGGTTCACATTGTTAGACGAAGAGTAGGAATTGGCAATAGGTCAATGGACCCATGAATCCGTAGCCTGGTCATCGAGTAGGGCCCGAATGGTAGTCAGAGATTCCTCAGTGCTTTAGAATCCGAGCACTCTGTTGATCTTTGTTTCAATTTGTGCGCTAGGAGGGATTACTATGTTCAGATGAACAGTCCCGATTGTAGCTATCAACGCCGATAGCACATGTGCGGAGAACAAAGAGAGCTAGTTGAATCACCTTGGGCAAAGCGTCCTTTTATGAGTGAATCAATCGCTGTCAGCTGTTGCAAGTTGAACTAGTCTTCAAAATTTGAACACTTTCGTTGCTACTAGGAAAGGTGTCTGGTCAGATTTCTTTTGGTTTCCAATACAGTGAGCTTGAAACGACTTTGCGCCTAAAGATGAAGACGCATAGCAGCCGTAACGGCGTATTTAAAATTTTCAATTGTTGCACATCACGGCAAGATTTAACGTCAACCTGTGCGTTCAGAAGATTTCATATTCCGTGAGACTAGCGTACTGACGCCAATAGATCCGGATGATTGTAAAGAAAGCAGCCTGTACTCAACACGACGTATACCAGCTCCAGTTCGAAAGTCTCAGGATAATAAGGAGGTGCAGGAAAAGCAATTGGGGAATGAAAGATCACGACTCAGGCGAACGAAGAGTTCTGCATCTCGCACGTCTTTGCGACGAAATACATCAGCAAAAGATAATCCAGATGCACCCTCAAATCCTCCAAAATATACACCTCTAGAACTTCTCAAGGTCGACAGTCATACACACCATCGAGACAACGTATTTCGTCCCCTCAAACTTGACCTTTCTAAGCCAGATGATGAATGGTCGCCCACTGTCCCTCACACCGGACAGTCTCCCCCCAGAAAACCGTCGCGCTACTCTAAAGAATTGCCAGATCCCAATGCACCTCGGATACCGCTTCATACAAAACCCACGTCATCAAATCAAGCAGGCCAATACGAAACTCACCCTAACTCCAGTCCCGATGATCATTCTGCCCTTATTGTGACAAGAAAGGAGAATCCAGGATCCAGATCGCATCATAGAACACGTAGCGAACCGGCACCTCACGAACGAGTAGACATCTCCTTAGCAGAGAAAATGAATTTGCTAGAGCAGTTAAAGAATGTTGAGTCTGATATTGAAAAGAGAAATAGATTCCTTTACAGCCGACCCAGTAGCCGGTCTAACAGCCGACCTAGCAGTCAACGTGATAGCCGATCTTTTAGTCGACCAACCAGTCGAGCCAGTAAAAAGAACAGTCTTAATTTCAATCCGTACGGTAAGAAGCTCCACTTAGCGCACAACCGAGCATAAATAGCGGATCCTGACTCTGATAGAACCTCTGCCACCTTATCCAGTTCAAGTAGTTGGTCAGTTCTCTTCGTTGCCTACCTTTCATGCACACCAAAATAGTACTGTATCTGAGCCCTATCATGACCAACCGCCACCGGTCTCCATAAGGAATCGTTCATTTTCAATGAGCTCATCTCGATCTCACACAATATACCGTCCAGACCAGGGGATACCCCTACCACCTCTACCATTAGTCCTTCAGGCTCCTTCATTCGATAAGACGCGACCTCTTTCGAGGGTCTCGAGTTGGTTGACTACCTCAAGTCAACATGAAATCTCTAGATCATCAAACTCCGTTACAAATACGCCGAGGCCTATTACTGGCCGCGATGGTTTCTATCAGTGTGTAGAACAGTACTCTATAAGTACTGACACGTCTACGACCGTAACCAACAGCTATTTATCCCAGCCCACAACGTGCACATCTCAGATTTTATGCCCGGACATGCGGAAAGATGTAGATCCAAATTTAGCTAGAGCACTTCGGCATCCGGGCGAAAATTCGAAGGTAATAAAAGAAATTGAGGATGCAGAACACAACGAGGTGGTGTTGCCAGACGAACAATGGGCGCATATTATCGGGCTTGCTTTTTGAAAAATATACCCTGGGCTGGTCCATGGCGTTTGAGATAGGGAAAAAGGTTAGATATTATGATTTGAAATAGAAAGATACGGTCTGATATAACCCATAATTTTAAGAAAATGAGACCTCGAAGTCACGATGGACGGTAGATTCCAAAATAGTTTAATATTAATACACATTTCGGATGAGCTGTTTTGTAAATATCATTTGAAACTTCGAAAAAAAACTGTGTCGTGACTGTAGTTGTGTCGTTAACCCCTGCAATATCACTTACTTGTTTTACGTGGGGCTCAAATTAAAGCCTAGGCTAGGTGATCTGCCAAGCTAACCGCGTCACTCCTACGGCTACTGGAAGAGCTATGTGTTCCCTCATGCATTTGTCGACTAACACCAATGAAATGCAAACAATCAATCAAATAATTAAATTATGATGCCGAGGAACCGTCCTCAACAGACGGGATACGCTCGAATTGCCGAAGCGGCTGAGTCTGATTCTGACGACGAAATCGACAACAGTCGTACTTCCCTGCAATCTGTTTCTGCTCCACAATTTGCTTCCATCAATCCTGCTACTCAGGAAGGAATAATAACGGGTGTTAATACTTCTCCCCAAACTTGCAACAAGAGCAGTTCTAGAAAACGAGTGAGAAGCAACTCATCTGGTGTGGACATCAAGGCAATCAATGCAAGGTTGGAAAAATGGGCAGATGAAATAGCATCCAAATTCAAGATTAACAAAGCTAAAGGTCAGAATAAAGATGAAAAAGAGCTAGAGATACATCATTCGGTTTTCCAGCCACCTGAGGGAGTAAGACCGGTGACCTCTAGCTCTCCTAATCCAGGGGACAGCGAGGAGCGAATGACAAAGGATGAGTTCGACGCAATTGTCGATAGCGTTAGGGTAGCTATTGAGCAAGGCACCCACCCTAAAATGATCAGCCAAGGAAGTTCGGGGAGTTATTTTGCGCGAAACAGCGACGGTGTCGTTGTCGGTGTCTTCAAGCCGAAAGACGAAGAACCTTACGCGGCTGGTAATCGTAGGTGACGATCTATTCCCAAGATAAATGCGCATCAAGCTAACTTCTTCCCAAGCAAAATGGAATAAATGGATCCACCGAAATCTTTTCCCATGTTTCTTCGGCCGAGCCTGTCTCATTCCAAACCTGAGCTACGTGTCGGAAGCAGCGGCCTACACTCTCGACTGTCGACTTCAAACCAACCTCGTTCCTTACACCGGTATTGTCCATATCTCGTCAAAATCGTTTCATTACGACTTTTGGCATAGGAGAAACTTTTACAGGCGCAAAAAGCCCTTCCCCCCAAAAGTCGGAAGCTTCCAGGTGTTCCTGAAAGGTTTTAAAGACGCAAATATCTTTCTCAGAGAGAATCCTTGGCCAGACCACAACGGAGCATATAGATCCGTGGATACAAATCAAAAAAGAGCCAAGCCTTGGAGTGAAAACGCTAAAACATCAAGTAACGGTTTAGAGTCTGAAGATCAGGAAACAGAGCCCTTTGCAAATGAGAGCTCAAATGGAAATTTTGTTTGGACTGAAAAGACAAAAAACTCCTTTCGTGAGGAGCTTGAAAAGCTGGTAATTCTGGACTATATCATGCGAAATACAGACCGAGGATTAGACAATTGGATGATTAAAGTAGATCAAGACGACTCAAAATCTTCACTCTCTCCTGGATCCCCCAGTATCAAGTCTAAAAATAACAGGGAACAAATTTCGATACCTCCCAAATCACAAAAGCCTACTCCAGTCGGAGATAAATTGACGAAATCAAATACAATAAAAAGCCCAAAAGTAACTATAGGAGCTATAGATAACAGTCTTTCATGGCCATGGAAACATCCTGATGCATGGAGGAGCTTTCCTTTTGGATGGTTATTTCTACCAGTCTCTCTTATCGGCCAACCTTTTTCCCAAAAAACTAGGGACCACTTTCTTCCCCTTCTAACATCAAAACAATGGTGGAGTGAGACGCAGCTAGAGCTCAGAAAAGTATTTTGTCAAGATGTAGATTTCAAGGAACGAATGTTTAGTCGACAGATTGCAGTCATGAAAGGACAGGCCTGGAATGTGGTTGAGACGTTAAAGTTGGCGGATCACGGGCCATTAGAATTGACTAGAAGAGCTAGGGTCTGTGTATGGGATGATTTGGTTAACATACCTATTGCTATACCCCTAAGAATGCCCTCCGCAGAGATGCGGCGACGTCATGATCAACAGCTTCAGGAAGAAATGGACATCAGTGCTGCAAATTCATCTCCTTCACAACCAGATCTTCTAGGGTTAGCCAGTTCCCCGACCAGGTTACCAAATTCATCCCGATTCATGCACTCAGACCCTAACCCGGCTGAAGAAACTTTTGATGTACAGTCAGCGCCAGCTAGTTCCCCGAACTTTTCCTCAGAACTCATTTGGGAGCCCAAAAGTAATCGTGTCAAGTTCTCTGATCGCTCAGCCTTCAAGAATTCATGGACTCGAATGAGCTATGATGGACCATCAAGACCACAGAACAGTAAACACCAGCCAGAAAGAAGCCTTTCTTTCTCATCCAAAACTGGAGATACAATACCTCCATATGACGGTGATGATTTGGAGGGTGATCTAGGATATGCCGTAGCTGAGGGAATGGACGGCAGCCATCGCAAGGTTATCGTCGAGCGTTTAGAGACCGTTAAGAGCAAGAATCCAGTGTTCACGTGGTGCTGATGGGTCAATTGGATCTACACAGGGAAGGGTTGGAATTCAAATCTCAGTGTGGACTATTTGGCGTCTCATGGGGTGAAAAAATATAACTTGGCGTTTGGAATTTCATGAACCACAGTGATCAATAACTCTAATTTCAATCAACGCGCAAAGCCTGATATTTCTAATGAGTTAGAGGGTATCACCAAAATTATCACTATCAATAATTATTCCATTTTTTAATGATTGGTTTTGACATGATCACTGCAAAACGAATGACAGAATTTGTATAGTTATCAGTTACCTTTTTCAAAAATTCTCTATCTAGTAAGCCTAAATGCATGTAGGACCCGTGAGCAGAACACTTTATGGATCATGAAGTGAAATTTCAACAGTCGAGAAAAGTCATCAAAGATTCATTAGCTGCTATATACCTGAAGAGTTTCGCAGAGATGATTAGTTCCCAAAAAAGAATCTCATTAAAAAATGACCAATATGAAGCATTTAGGAGGAGGACATGTGGTTCGGGCTTAGTGTGAGTAGTCACCTTAGACAATAATCCGATTTTTTGAGAAGCCAAAATATTCGAATCTAGGCTTAGCGATAAATCATTTGTGTATATAGGGTCCTGTGAAGCAGTCCAAGTGTGGTTTGAAGCGATTGAGGTGACCTAATCTTCAGAGCGAATTTATTAATCTTTGACAATCAAAATGCATGTCAACTAAGTGCAAATGCCTTGCACCCAATGGAGAGGTTTCGCAGGCCGTGTATCACGCGATGATGATTATTCTCCCCACACGAGATGATTGCCATGAACCTCATTGATCACAAAAGGTACCATTGATATGAGTATGTGATTATTTTAATAGTCTCTTTTAGGACCCCACCAGTGATTTTGGTCTAGATTTTAATGACTTTTACGCGGTAAAAGATAAGACTTCAATCCTTCGATATCTGACGTGGAGTGAGTGATCCCTCTGTATATTATCTTCGTGCTGATGATACTCATTTCTTCGACGGTCAGGTCTAGTAGAAATTAGAAGCGTAAGGGCCGGTAGATAGATAATTGATTATGGTGAAACCACTACTGATTCTTGTCGTCACTCTGTTATAGACGTGAGAAAAAGACGAATTCGAGCCCTTGAACTCGAATGGCCAAAAATATTGAATTTGTCCCATTTTTAGCATCTAGGGGTGCTTTTGGCTGCTGGGCAAATCTGCTTCGAGCGTCATGCCTGCATTTACGAGATGGTAGATGACGATCTAAATACCGCCATGACTAGATAGTGTAGTGGTACGTCATTTGGATCGGTCTCCCAAGTTGATTTTGGATAGTGTAACGGCTAGTGAGCCGATAATTGTCCTGTATCACGTGATGTTGATCACTTGCCTCAACAATTCTGTGAAAGGGCGAAACTTCACTCTAGTTTATTCTGAACATGACTAGAGGATTCTAGCAACTGGCGCTGAGACTGTGAACTGGTATCAGGGAAACATAACAGAGGCTAGTATCAGACAGGAAGGAATATTCTAGATAGCCTAATAAGTGTATAAATAGTTAAGTTAGGACACACATATTGTGGTATAGAAAATAATAAACAACCTTCGTATATTTGATCGCCCCAGCATCTATACCTCGAACTGTGACATATTATTTTCTATCTTCAGACATCCAGAACCGCAGTTATTTTCAGATACTCAGAACCGCAGTTATTTTCAGATACTCAGAACCGCAGTTATTTTCAGATACTCAGAACCGCAGTTATTTTCAGATACTCAGAACCGCAGTTATTTTCAGATAATCAGATCCGCAGTCAGTTTCAGATACTCAGAACCGCAGTTATTTTCAGATAATCAGATCCGCAGTCAGTTTCAGATATTCAGAACCGCAGGAATTTGTTCACAATGGCATCCGGGGGAAATTTGCAAGTGGTGCCAATAGAAGAATTCAGAGAGCTGCAACAACAATTTAAAAAACTACTGGACACGCAGTCTTGTAAAATTACGCCAAAGAGATTGATCATCGAAAAGGATCCCCCACTTAGAGAGAACACTTGCTTGAAGCCGACAAAACTTCCGGAATTCGTTGGGAACAGAGCAGAATATCCAGCATGGCGTGCCGCTGTCCTGGATACTTTTCGTATGGATTGGTATTTATTTGGATACGACAACTCTCGTGCTTTTTTAATGATATACAACGCACTGAAAGGCACGGCAAGGACAAAAGCCAGTCCCTTCTACGAATCAGGGGGAGTCCACAACACCAGGGACCCAGAAGACTTCATCGAGTTTCTGGATAGACTATTTCTAGATTCAACGAGAGTTTCAAGAGCGAAAACAGAGCTCCAGTCGATGAAAATGGAAGACAACGAACGGTGGTCGGATTTTTACGCATCTTGGTCTAACAAACTGACTGAGGCTCGGGGTGACTTTTGGCCCGACGATAACAAAATATCACTGCTTCAAAATACGTTGAACAAAAAGTTGACCATGGCATTAGCCTCGAATCATATGTTGCCCGAAGAAGATTTTAATGAATGGGTGAACATAGTCAATAAAGTGGCGCAACAATTTGAAATAGCAGAGTCCCGTTTCAAGGGTAGACGAGAGTATTTATGCTCCAACGGAGACTTCAGACATGGAAGCAGGGGAAAAGATTACACCAATGGAAGTGATTTAAATAACGGACCACCACAAAGAAAAACTCCTGATAACTTCGGCAGCCAATACAGTGGTCATGGATTGAACAATGACGTGGACAAGTCAGGTGATACTATCATGGGTGGCGTTAATGCGATGGGCGTAAAAAGAGAAGAAAGCAGACGAGCAAAATGGAAAACAAAATCTCAATTGGAAACACTGAAGCGGGAAGGTCGTTGCTTTAGGTGTGAGCGTAAAGGGTGTGTAACCAAAAGGTGCTCTTTACTGCCGGCCATAAAGCCCAAGGGTAATTCAGTATGGGTTACCTCTACATCTTTGCCAGAAATAGATCCATCTATGTATTATATTGAAGGAAAGGAATTGGATTCGGAAAACTTATAGCTCCTGAACCCAGTCGCGCTCAGGAGCCAGAAATAGTCAGCAGTTTTGAAGCAAGTTTAAATACAAAGCCTTTTCTTTTAAATGCATTATTAAATGATACAAGAATGGTCCAAGCACTAGTAGACAACGGTTGCTTGTGTTTTGGAATCATTGATGATATATTAGCTGAAAAACTACGACTACCGCGCATTCCAATAACCCCTAGAATACTAGAAACTGCAGATAATTCGTCCACAAACAAACCGACTGTCAACAATATTACCTATTTATCACTAGATCTTGATGGATACGTTACGCCAAAACTATGGCTTTACGTTGTACCTAACAGCACTCATCAATTGATTTTGGGAAAAAAATGGCTCGAAGATCAAGATGCGGTAGTTCATTCTAAAGAGCAACGTCTTGAACTTCGCAAATGTGGTGGATCTATATGCAGTGTCGACCGCTGGAGACAAGACTTAAGAAATGTTGCCCGTCCGAAGAACGTCCCTATTAAGACCATGGCAACAATGGTTGAAACAGTTCCAGTTTGCAAGGCATCAATCGAAGACATAAATAAGGCATTACGTGGAAAGGCGTGCTTATCGTTAGAACAGGCGCAAAATCGACTACCTGATCAAGTCAAGGATTTTGCCCATTTATTTGCAGATAATACAGGGGCGAACGACTTGCCACCCCTACGCGGCAATCTAGATCATGCTATCGAGTTGCGAAAAGAGAAGGGTAAAACTCTGTCGCCGCCATGGGGTCCGCTTTATTGTATGTCAAGAGAGGAGTTGCTTGTTCTGAGAAAAACATTAACGGATCTCCTGGAAAAGGGTTGGATTCGACCAAGTAAATCGGCAGCAGCAGCACCAGTACTCTTTGCAAAGAAGCCGAACGGAGGCCTTCGATTTTGCGTGGACTATCGAGGGCTAAATGCGATAACTTTGCCTGACCGATATCCACTTCCATTATTTAAAGAAACGCTGCGTCAGTTATCTCGAGCAAATTGGTTTACAAAACTCGATGTAAAATCAGCTTTCCATAGAATACGTGTCAAGGAAGGCAACGAATGGATGACGGCATTTCGCTGTCGGTTTGGTCTCTTCGAGTGGATGGTAACACCCTTCGGTCTTTCCAATGCACCAGCAACCTTTCAAAGATATATTAACGAACAATTACGCGAACACCTTGACGTTGATGCCACAGCTTACATGGACGATGTTCTGGCGTATACATCAGGGAGTGAGGAAGAACATTGGAAAGTCGTTAGAAGCATACTATCAAAACTCGAGAGAGCGGGACTATATCTTGATATCGATAAATGCGAATTCCTTTGTCAACAAGTTAAGTATCTTGGATTCATCATTAAGGCAGGCGAGAGTGTTTCAACCGACCCAGATAAAGTGAAAGCCATAATGCAGTGGGAGGCACCTACCTCTGTTAAAGGTGTTCGATCATTTTTAGGATTTGCTAACTTTTATCGATGCTTCATAGACAAGTTTTCTGACATTGCAGCCCCACTGATTGACTTGACCAAGAAGAATTCACCGTGGCACTGGGGTGAAAAAGAAAATTTTGCTTTCGAACAATTAAAGAAAATTTTTGCGACATCGCCGGTCTTAGCACAATGGAATCCAGAACGTGACACCGTGTTAGAAGCAGACTGTTCTGGTTTTGCACTGGGAGGATGTCTATCACAATTGGATGATCTGAAAAGATTACGGCCAATTGCTTATTTCTCGAGAAGATTGACGGGCGCCGAATACAATTACCCTATTCATGACAAAGAAATGCTCGCGATTATTGAATGCCTCAAGGAGTGGCAAGCCGAATTAAAATCAGTCGAAAAGCCTTTCACAATACTTAGTGATCATAAAAATCTTAGTTATTTCGCCTCCAAAAAGCTACTCAACGAGCGACAAGCCAGATATAATGATACTTTGCAACAGTTTAATTTCAAAATTCAGTGGCGAGCTGGTACCGCTAGTCAGCGACCA